TGCGCTGGGGACGCCTATTCAGTGGAGTGCTAGTGGTACCGCCAGGCGGTCCCTTACACGTGCTAAGTGTCTCCACATGATATGCCTTATCAGGAGATAAGAGGGGGACACTGGAAGAAGGGGAGGATCAGAGATATCAGGATCAAACAGCATTTTAAACAATGCAGAGGATTAACCCCTTAGGTTCCACAGCGAGTATAACAAGCATGTTTTACTGCATATACAGACTGATTTTACTGTTGTGGGTTTAGTAACACTTTAAAATAAGGATTACGGCACTCTCAGTGCAATGTGGGCATCCAACATGGGACAGTTTTATTAATTAAGATATACTTAATTATATATACTGCACCTAGTAGGGTTGTACCATGCTTTCATTTATTTCTAAAATGGAAGCATGGCGCAGCCCTACTATAATCCTAGAAAAATTGCAGAAAAAATGTATTCCTCTTCAAGGGACATGAAAAAGGCACTTTAATTGTAGTTCCTGTATACGGCCTTTCATCAACAAACCCTACCTGAGCAGATGACACAGCACTTCGCTGTGGGCTGTAGTGCCATTAACATGATGTAGAGGATAGAAAAGATTTATATATAGTCTGTGGAGTTGCCAGGCAGTAGAGAGCATGTCAATTCTTCCTTATGCACAGAAATTAGGTAAAAGTGTTAATTAGGCATATTTGCAGATTTTAACCCCTTTTATGTTATCGGTTTATGAGTACTGCAGCTTTAAATATGAGGAAATGCTGAACTAAACCTGGCTTGTTAGAGATACATTTAGGAAAGGACACATTAACACAGTGGTGTAAATAAAGACTGACAGACAGCAATGGGACAGTTCTATTACATGACAAATTAAGTCCACACTGATGTGTGTATAATCTATTCCAAAGTGATATCATGACAGAACTAAAATACATTTTTTGCTTGGACGACCATAAAATAGTATGTATCTAAATGTCAGGAGAGCAAATTAACATTCATCCGCAGCCCACTACTCTACCCTGTCATTATCCACCATCTAATGTCAAGTAATTTAGTCAGTGCTATACATTTCCAGGATGTTCACCACATTTTATTATGAGTAAATTTAAATAAATGTGGAGAATTAAACTGAAGAATTTACATACAACTGCAATTATTTATTCAGAAATATATGCACAATGTTTATAACAGATATATTTTTATTTTGAGTATTCTCAGTGCCGGATTACCATACCATGTAAGGGTCCCACGACAATTGATCAAAATAATGTTGATTTGATCTTGTAAGATAATTAAATTTATGCTTTTTTAAATTGTTTACAAAATAAATGCACAATTTTTATAACATATCATTTTAATTTGAGTATTCTCAGTGCCGGCTTACCATATAGACAGAGTAGGCATCTGCCTAAGGGCCCTTCGCCATGTAAGGGACATGCAACAATTGATCAAAATAATGTTGATTTGATCTTGCAAGATAATTAAAATGAAGCTTTTTTTAAATTGTTTACAAAAAATAGGAAAAAAAACTAATCAACTCAAAGAAACAAAAACATTACATTAAAGACTGTAGAAAAAAATACTGTAGTAATGTAATGTACCTAATAACAACTTCAAGTACATAAACCATAGACATCAGGTTCATATTATAGTTTGTCACTTAAAAGCGCATCAAAAAATTTTGGTGCACCCTGTGTATGTGTAATGTATGGTAGTGCAGGTCATCTCCATCTAGCGGCTGATGTGCGCACTATGTAGCTCAATGTTATCCCACTAAAGTGTGAGAAACCTCCAGAAAACTTCAAGGGAGACTGTCACGAGTTCACCCACATGCACACACCCACAGTGACTAGCTAACCGAGGCGCGCACATGCGGTCGTGACTTGGAGTAAGGGGGAATAAGGGGGACTTAACTTTGAATAAATAAAACCTTATATAAGACCAGCCGTGATATACTTTCACAGCCCGCACTACCTCTTGGCCACCACCAGAGGGAGACTCCACTCCAATCCAGATGGCTGACCACACACTGGCGGATACAAATCTTACATACAATTTGGTGCACTAACTAGGGTTGAGGAGCAGCCTAGCAATCACACACCCTTCTAGAATTCCTCCAGCTATCCTACAAGCCAGAACCTTGGTGTTAGTCACTCTTCCACTGTCCACACACCCCCACACCAGACACACCACAAACGATAGCTTGCCACCACCCAACAGTTTTACTGGTCTGCTGGGACACCACACACACAGATCTCCATCTGGCAGACCTGTTACCTTTACAATCTGCATACAATCTGCCAACACACAGTGCAATTGCATACAGATAGGCAATGAACTTGATCGAGCGTGTAAAGACACTAAAATACAATACAATCTAATCTCTCCAAAGATATGAGCCCGCTTAAGTACCCAGAAATCAATTATTAATTTTAAAATTTAATATCCCAGAAGTGGGCAGTGCATAAAATATGTACAAAATATAAAACGTTACAGAAATACAAAAATACAAGAAGACACACATAGACTATTCACTATAAAATAAAAGGGAATAAAAAACAGAAATAAAACCTTTACCAAGATTTATCCTGCGACTGGAGCAAGTCAGGGAGAGTCAGAAATCCGTCAGTCAATCGAACTGGCTCCATACGAATCACAATGTCCAAATGTCAGGGTCCTCAATTTATGGGGCTATGGACGTAGGCTGGACATTAGTCCTTGGCCAATCGACTCTGGGGGGTGTTCCAGTACCCGCCCACAGGCTGTTCTGGGAGCTGAACTGCCCAAAGTCAATTGGATCAAGACCGGCTTAAATCACCAAGTTGAGGGTTGAATTTTCGGCACCAGCGCATCAGTCCAATCACGACAGTACCAATCACTGTTCCGCTATCGCACTCCAGCGCCACAATCATTTCTTGCATTTTTCTGGCATTCTACATAGGTCACAAATATAGTTTTTGTATGCAATGTAGCCTACAGAGCGCCCCATCAGAAGGAAGTATTTTCATCTATCTGCAACTAATATTTTAGCTTTTAGGGATGAACCATACTCCCTTAATGTATGTATATACTTTAGAGCTCCCTAAACAGATCGGAGCCCCCCTGGTGTCATGAAGCCGAAACGTCTACATTTCTCTTTTAAACTTCAGGAAGATGGCAAAGTCTGATTACATACAGTATAGGCGACAAAATCTTATTAGCACCCAGGCATCACTTTCAGCTTGAGGAAGCTCTGTCTCTTTTTAGATGCTAATTGGTGACCATCTGTCTGTGAGTATCAATGACTGAATATTTCTTTAATAACAAGGACTGAACTAAATTTACGATTACATATTGCTACAGGTCACATTTCAGCTACTCAAATCTGTACATTTATGTCACAGGTACCCCAATTTTTTGACTGCTCAGGGCTTCCACAGAGTTTATTATGGCACAGAGCAGGGGCGGACTGACAACTCATGGGGCCCCCGGGCAATAGGGGATCATGGGGCCCCTGTGTCCTCGCCCAAACTCAAAAAAGCCTATGAAAAAAGGCACCTCATGGGGCCCCCTACTGACCCCGGGCCCTCGGGCAGTGCCCGAGTTTCTAAATGGTCAGTCCATCCCTGGCACAGAGTATTCTCGTCACATATATTTGGTGTTATTTCACAAGCAACAAAAATCTGCCTGTTGACCTGTTACAGTGATGATCAGATTGATTGGCGTATGCAGTCTTGGACTGAACTTAATGGATATTTGTTAACCACAATGGATATTTCCTCAGCCTGACTAACTATATAAACCAAAATACTAGAAGAATCCCTAAACTTTTTTGCCTCCTGGGAAAGATAATACACTTTGTAATAACACATTATTCTATTATTTAAAAAGGAACTTTACCGCTCTATCCGTTCCCTCTTTTGCGCCGCCATCTTGAAATGTCCCAAATACCTGGCAGAACCTCGCAGCACATCTGTGCACACGCCACCAGTGTTGCTATATTGGGTGCATGCAAAAGTGTACACTGCCTCCTAGGATTGCTGTGGTTTAGAAATACTAGAAGGCATTGGGCCTAGGCTGAAAAGCAAGAAATGCTCCTTTGCAGCACAAAAAATACCCAAAAGGTACACGTTTTAATACTTTTTTTTTAATTTTTGAGGAGGTGGACCAAAAAATGTTGCTATAATGAGGTAAGCTCTGCTTGAAAGTGTCACTACATATCAAAAAAAAAAATTACATATATATATATATATATATATATATACACACATACACACATGCATACGCGCACACACACACAGTGCTGGGCATAAATGAGTACACCCCAGCAGATTTATCAGAAAACCTTTAATTTCCTTTCAGAATCAAACTTTTCTATGGGACACTATTTGGGACAAAATTTGTTAATTTACACATACAAAAAGTATTTTTCCAAACAAATTCATTCAAGACCATGTTGCAAAAATGAAAATACTCGAGTGAAAGCCTTAGGAGCAAAGCTAAATCTTAGACAACAAAATCCTAATTAACAAGAATTCATTAAACAAGTGTCCAGAAGACGGTTGATTATAAAAGGGTGTTACTTAACACAGAAATTCCCTTCCCATTCCATGCTGTCAGTAATGGCAACACATGGAAGAGAAATGTCACAAGGCCTGAGAAAAGAAAATTATTTTTATTACACAAGAAAGTTGAAGGCTACAAGAAGATCAGCTTTACTTATCAGTCAGAATACTGTAACAAAAGAGATACAAAAATTTAACAAAGATGGAACTGCAACCATCTCACAGAGACATCTGGGCCATCCATGAAAGTTAACATCTCAACAGGAGCGTCTTCTGATGAGAAGGGTTGAAGAAAATTGCCATGCAAGATCACTGCAGTTAGCTAAAGAAGTAGACAGCCAAACTGGGGTGATTGTTTCCCGAAACACAATATGGCGTACACTGCAGAGGAATGGCATGCATGGGTGTCGTCCATGAAGGAAGCCTCTCCTAAAGCCCAAGCATAAAAAAGCCCACCTAGAATTTAACAGGGCCTGTGCTGAAAAAGAAGAAGACTACTGGGACTCTGTACTCTGGAGTGATGAGACCAAGATAAATGTTTTTGGAATGGATGGCTTTAAAACTGTATGATGTCGCAAAGGTGAGGAGTACATAGAAAAATGCATTGTGCCTACAGTGAAACATGGTGGTGGCAATGCCCGGTAGGCCTTTATGAATGTTGCTGGTGTCGAAGGCCTGCATTTCATTGATAGTATCATAAATTCACAGATGTACTTCTCTATATTGAAAGAGAAGATGCTACCATCACTCTGTGCCCCTGGTCTTCGTGCACTTTTCCAACATGACAATGATCCAAAACACAAAAAATCTAAGGCCACTGCTGCAGTTCTGAAGAACAACAGGGTGAAAGTGATTCAGTAGGTCTCCTGATCTGAACCCAATCGTACACCTTTGGGGAATTGTGAAGAGACACGTTGAGTATCACTTTCCATCCAACATCCAGGCTCTAAAAGAGGTCGTTATTTAGGAATGGAAAAAGATATACGTTGCAAAATGTCACCAACTTGTTCATTCCATGCCTAGAAGACTCGGTGCTGTCCTTACAAATCATGGAGGTCATACAAAATACTAGATGTAGCAGTTTTTGTTGTGGGGAGTATTCATTTTTGCATCAACTAGTTTGAGTAAAACTGAACATTTTGTAATCTACATTATATTAATAACATTATGTTCATGTAATGAGCAAAACAAATGTTCTGTAAAGCTCAGTTTTGTAAAAATTTGGGAAATTGTTCTTGTGTTCATTGAGATATTGATTAAAATCTAACTTTTCAAAAGGGGTGTACTCATTTATGTTGAGCACTATATACAGTGGGGATCGAAAGTTTGGGCACCCCAGCTAAAAATTTGTATTAATGTGCATAAAAAAGCCAAGGAAAGATAGAAAAATCTCCAAAAGGCATCAAATTACAGATTAGACATTCCTATAATATGTCAACAAAAGTTAGATTTTATTTCCATCATTTACACTTTCAAAATAACAGAAAACAAAAAAATGGCGTCTGCAAAAGTTTGGGCACCCTGCAGAATTTATAGCATGCACTGCCCTCTTTGCCAAGCTGAGACCTGCCAGTGTCATGGATTGTTCTCAATCATCGTCTGGGAAGACCAGGTGATGTCAATCTCAAAGGTTTTAAATGCCCAGACTCATCTGACCTTGCCCCAACAATCAGCACCATGGGTTCTTCTAAGCAGTTGTCTAGAAAACTGAAACTGAAAATAGTTGACGCTCACAAAGCTGGAGAAGGCTATAAGAAGATAGCAAAGCGTTTTCAGATGTCAATATCCTCTGTTCGGAATGTAATTAAGAAATGGCAGTCATCAGGAACAGTGGAAGTTAAAGCAAGATCTGGAAGACCAAGAAAAATATCAGACAGAACAGCTCGCAGGATTGTGAGAAAAACAATTCAAAACCCACGTTTGACTGCACGATCCCTCCAGAAAGATCTGGCAGACACTGGAGTTGTGGTACACTATTCCACTATAAAGAGATACTTGTACAAATATGGTCTTCATGGAAGAGTCATCAGAAGAAAACCTCTTCTACGTCTTCACCACAAAAATCATCGTTTGAACTTTACAAATGAACATATAGACAAGCCTGATGCATTTTGGAAATAAGTTCTGTGGACCGATGAGGTTAAAATTGAACTTTTTGGCCGGAATGAGCAAAGGTACGTTTGGAGAAGAAGGGGCACAGAATTTAATGAAAAGAACCTCTGTCCAACTGTTAAGCATGGGGTTGGATTAATCATGCTTTGGGGTTGTGTTGCAGCCAGTGGCACAGGGAACATCTCACGAGTAGAAGGAAAAATGGATTCAATAAAATATCAGCAAATTTTGGATGGTAACTTGATGCCATCTGTGAAAAAGCTGAAGTTAAAGAGAGGATGGCTTCTACAAATGGATAATGATCCTAAACACACCTCGAAATCCACGGGGGATTACATCAAGAGGCGTAAACTGAAGGTTTTGCCATGGCCTTCACAATCTCCTGACCTCAGCATAATTGAAAATCTATGGATAGACCTTAAAAGAGCAGTGCGTGACAGACAGCCCAGAAATCTCAAAGAACTGGAAGACTTTTGTAAGGAAGAATGGGCAAAGATACCTCAAACAAGAATTGAAAGACTCTTGGCTGGCTACAAAAAGCGTTTACAAGCTGTGATACTTGCCAAAGGGGGCAGTACAAGATATTAACTCTGCAGGGTGCCCAAACTTTTGCAGACGCCATTTTTTTGTTTTCTGTTATTTTGAAAGTGTAAATGATGGAAATAAAATCTAACTTTTGTTGACATATTATAAGAATGTCTAATCTGTAATTTGATGCCATTTGGAGATTTTTCCATCTTTCCTTGGCTTCTTTATGCACATTAATACAAATTTTTAGCTGGGGTGCCCAAACTTTCGATCCCCACTGTATAGATATATATATTTTTTCCCTTTATTTTTTTTTTCTTTGTAATACATTTCTATATAATGTTTTGCCTTTTTCAAATAAATTGGATTTGGATAAAAATATTGATCCTACCAGTGATCTATTCTTGTTATTAGTGATGGCAACAATCTGTAGGGTCATTTGCCCTGTGCAACATTGCCACCTCATGCTCCAAACAACATGTCTACAGCTTACTCTACCTTTGTTCTATTCAGATCTGAACAGTCTGGGTGGTGGGTGTGACCAGTCTGCCCTTCTCTGAATAGGTTTGACAGGAGGGGCAGCTGTCAATTAAACATTCTTACCTGCCCTTTCAGGTGGTGCCGATAGTAATGTAGGCAGCTGGGAGCCTGACAGGGCAGGTAAGAGTGAATGAGAGCAGCTTCTCCTGTCATTGCCATATTTCTCAGGGCAGACTGGTCCTTCCCACTGCCCGTACTGTTCTGCCCCAAAGAGATCTATGCAGTTATGTGATCAGGAACCAAACAAAACAATAATAGCTATTCTGGAAGCTCTTTTGAACAGTTTTCTATATCATCTAATTTGGGAATCAATTCCAAACCTTATAAGGTACAAAAATGGTGGTTTAGGTTTACAACCGTCAAAGCTTTTTCTGTAGCTTCCAAACTCTTAATACATTCACCATCACATGTCAAGTATCACGATATGGTTATGTTTTTGATCTGTCTATTAGCCCTTTAAGACAATTACACTCAGCTTACAATAAAATATGAACCTGAGAAGATGTTACTACATTGGGAGACTTGCTGCACATAGTAACTGCATTCAAGGGTCTGAATTAGATTGAAATTTATTTTATAAGATTTTCTTTTAGGAATGATTCTGTGCTGTAACTAGTGGCTTGTTCTTATTTGTAAGGTTTTGAATACTGGAAACAATTGGTGAGTGTTAAAAAAAACTGCTAAATTGTTATTATGTGGGTATCTTTATTTACTGTATTTTGGGGTTAATTATTTGAAATACAGAGGAATGGTATAGAAATGTTTTGTTTGAATTTTGTTTTACTTTTTTTTTCATTCTGACCAGAAACATTGTATATTTTACACAATTTTTAGGCCCGATCACATCTGGGAATAGTAGAATCGTGGGAGTAATAAAAACACGTCAAAGTCGGCTCCAGAAAAAAGGGTACAGGAGCTACTTGGTGCATTTTTGGAGTGGAGGGCACCCAATTCAAGTGAATGGTGTTGTTCCATAAAATGTGCTAAAACCGTACAAAAAAAAAAAGGTGCGAAAAATGCAATGCTCCTGCTTTGTTCAGATATCAATGAGGATTAAAGGAGATCATGTTAGGATAAGGAAAGTATGGGAGCTGCCATTGCCAGCTGGTATTAATAGGCACAGCTTTTAAGACTGGTGTCTAAGATGAGAGTGCAGGCTTTCTAGACTCTATTGGTTACATTCTAGTTTCAAGTCAGCGGTGTACTAGATAATAAAGCCAAAAGACACCACCCTTGGAGATTGCAGCTTCTATACTTACTGTATGTTATCACAGGTTCACTTTAACAAGCATAAATGAGAACAACGCTAGATTAGGTTCTTGGTGGTATACCTAAAAAGCGATGAATATTTGAATAGATGAGAACCCTCATTGCATCAATAGAGCTATGTAAACTTACAAAAAATTTAGCAGTTCAAGTGAACCTTGGTTCATAACTCCATGTAAAAAGCATTACTAGATGTAGGGTATTGGAAAGGGTATTGCTTAGGTCACAGCTGTGACCACCCTCTGTTCCCAAGGACCCCTGAGATTCTAAAGTGTAAAACAGGATGTTACAATGGATATAATAAGTATTGTGATAAGACTGGTTCCCATTTAATCTATATTTTTAATTCACAAGAGTAAGGGAAACTTCAAGTTGAAACACACACCTTTATTTTACTAACTGAAAGAGCAAGACAGTGGATTATAAATGTACATCAAACAAGGCAGTAAACAAAAGTAAAGAAGAACTCAAACACAAACTAGACTATGAAAGTGAAACTGAGGATGTAAGTTGTGACTTTTATCTGCTGATTAGTAGTTTTGAATTGGCTCTTAAGCATTTGCAGTTGGTATACCTTGCTTCCGGATACCCTGGAAAACTGTGGAACAGCTGGTGCAAGCGGTAACACTACTCTCATGTGTGTAATGACCTGAATGGTCCATTATAAAAGCACTTAATAAAGTGATTACTTCTCAGTACATTGGCAGGGTCATTGCCTGCAGTGTCTAGAATGCAATTTCACTTAGTAGTCCCATTAAAGTAGATGCAAACCATAACCAAATGACTTTTAGTTTACTAAAGCAATGGGCATCAAACATTTACAAATTTTTCAATAAAATATTTGTTTATAACGTGTTTTTACCTTTTGCTGTATTCCCAGTAATGCTAATTTTTATAGGCTCTTCCTGTCTTCGCACACTCCAGGGCTGGCTGCATGGGATTTTTCAGGACAAGTTTCCCAATGGACAGTGGACCACAGCTGCATAATGTGTGAAAACGGCCAACTGTAGGCTCAATCACAAGCCAATTAGGAATGAGGTCAGATCCTCGTTTGTTCAGATCCTAGTCTGATCCCACCTGAGTAATCCCACCAGGAAGCTGTCACTGTCCTTGGTCAATCATAAGTGGCCGTGGTATTCCCCCCACCCTACCACACCTCTTGTATATGTGCAGCTGCAATGTGGTGAATGCCTCAGCCTCTTATGATTGGCCAAGGGTAGATGACAGCTTCCTGGCAGGAGCGGACAGGGCGGTAGATACAAAGGACAGGTACTATTTATTAAAAATATGCTGAAAGCTGCAGATTTTAAAAAGCAACAAAATACTTTTGAAGTTACATTAACATATTATTATGATTTTAATGATTGGGTTTGCATCTACTTTAAC